TAAAGTGTAGCAATATTTTCCTAGGTCAGTCTCCTAAGGCAATAGAAATAAAAGCAAAAATAAACAAATGGGACCTAATCAAACTTATTAGCTCTTGCACAGCAAAGAAAACCATAAACAAAACAAGAAGACTAAACTATGGACTGGGAGAAAATATTTGCAAATGATATGGCTGACAAGGGCTTAATTTCCAGAAAATACAAACAGTTCACACAACTCAATAGCAAAAAAACCCAAAAAACCAATCAAAAAATGGGCAGAAGATCTAAAAAGACATTTCTGCAAAGAAGACATGCAGATGCCCAATAGGCTCATGACAAAATGCTCAATATTGCTAATTACTAGAGAAATGCAAACAAAAACTACAATGAGGTATCACCTTACACCAGTCAGAATGGTCATCATTAAAAAGTCCACAAACAATAAATGCTAGATAAGGTGTGGGAGAAAGGAAACCCTCCTACACTTTTGGTGGGAATGTAATTTGGTGCAGCGACTACGGAAAACAGTATGGAGATTCCTTAAAAAACTAAAAATAGACTTACCATATGATCCAGCAATCCCACTCCTGAGCATATGTCCAGAGAAAACTCTAATTCAAAAAGATACATGCACCCCAATGTTCATAGCAACACTAATTACAATAGCCAAGATATGGAAGCAATCCAAATGTCTACTGATGGATGAATGGATGGAGAAGATGTGGTGTATATATATATATATATATATATATATATATATAACTTAGTCATAAAAAATGAAACAATGCCATTTGCAGCAACATAGATGGACCTAGAGATTATCATACTAAATGAAGTAAGTCAGACAGAGACAGATATCATACGATATCACTTACATCTAAAAAAAATTACACAAATGAACTTATTTACAAAACAGAAACAGACTCACAGACATAGAAAACAAGCTTGCCAAAGGGGAAAGGGCAGGGAAGGATAAATTAGGAGTTTGGGATTAGCAGATATAAACTACTATATATAAAACAGATAAACAACAGGGTCCTACTGTATAGCACAGGGAACTATATTCAATATCTTGTAATAACTTATAATGAAAAAGAATATATATGTATAACTGAATCACTGTGCTGTATACCAGAAAGTAACATAACATTTTAAATCAAGTATACTTTAGTTAAAAAAAAAAAATTAAAACAGGCACTTGCCTTCTACTTTCTTTGAATTCAGCAAAGTATCTAACCTGGGGCTATCAGCTCTTAAATTCTGAGAAAGAGCTTATCTGATAAATCATACAACTATTGGTGTTAAATATGCTAAATTTTATTTTTTGGATTATTATTAATTAATTTAATTATTAATAACTTTAAATTAAGTTAGGATAATTAATAAATACTGTCTCATGGCCAAAATGCTTTGAAATGGCTTTTTAAAAATTGACTATAATTACTATAATTTGTACTTTAACACATTAATAACAGAAATAGTAACTATACCGTTATCTAGTACTCTTAAATCTGTTATTCTAAATGTATTTCTTTCTCTCAGGTGTACACCTAGAAAAGGAATTAGTGGGTCACAAAGTAGACATATATTTAGCTTTAATAGACGCTGCCACTTTCCAAAGGTGCTCACACTAATTTACACTCCCACCAGCAATGTATCACAGTTTCAATTGTCCTATCATTATAATTCTCAACATCTGAAGATGTTTATAAACTACATTTATTCCCAATGTAGTTCTTCAAGGGTAATAAGATTATGACTTGATGAACTGAACTAGCAACTCTTTTTAATAATAATAATAATAATAATAATAATAATAATAATAATAATAGAATATTACGGTGCCATTGGCTTAGAAACTTTGTTTGCAACAAATTTTAGGATCTATAGTGAACATTATGCAAAAGGGTTCTGGTATGAACATATTTTACAAATGTGACATGTAACCATGGCTGCTTAATGAAGGCCCTAAGATGGTTATGTGTAAGGTTAATTAGTTGTAAGGGGATATTTCCCTTAAAGGGAGAAGATATTTTACATGGACTTTAAATTAATAGGCGACTGTGAAGTGAAAAACAGTGAAGTGAAAAGCTGTGCAGTCAAACGTGTATCTTAGGAATACATCAACCAGTCAAGCAACTGCATGTCTGTAGCAATACACACTGAACTGCACTACTGTGACAACAACACAGGCAGTGAAGGTGCTTCCTACGCTGTTCCTTTCACACAAACCCCTTGCCCACTGACGCCTACCATAATCACCAGTTTATTTCAAGAACAGTCTACTTCTTTTCTTTGAATCCAAATCTTACATTTCCTTTTTGGTCCATTTGAAGTTCTGTCCTCTTTTGGCTTCCATGAACTCTCCCAGCACACAGCGCCACAAAGCTCTTTCCTTTCTTAAAAATCATCATAATATCAAAAAAAAAAATCACTGTGATAATATAATGCCCGATATTACACATGGCCTCTGTCTGGTCTTCAGCTGTTTATACTCGGTTATTCTAATATTGACCAAATAAAAAAGCACGAGATATGATTCTAACATAAATGATTAAGTTCCTATAATGTGTCAACCTCTTTGACCACATTATTTTATTCAACAGCTCTGAGAGTTAGGAACCTCCATTTTACTGTTGAGGAAATAGGCCCAGTTAGGTTTAGTAATATGACAAGGACACACAGCTGGTTAGCGGTAGAACGGCAATTCAGTCCCGGACTTCTGAACTTATTAGTTTGTAATTCAGCTTAACACTTCTAAGGTATCAGAAGAGGAGAGAGAAAATAAACAGAGAATTAAGAATTTTCCATTTTTCTAGGACAAGTTCTTAAGATAGACTATGAATTACTCTAGCTGTGCGTAAGAGATAGTATGAGAAGCAAGAATTTTTACTTTCAGAATTATTTCAGATTCCATCAGTTCATATTTAAATGATGTATATGTGTGAACACAAGCATTCCTATAGTTGAGGAAGACACTGTAATTTTTTATTTACTCTCTGGTCTATTCTTGGTAGCGTATATAGAGTCACATGCATGAGATATATGCTCATGTTGCTTTTTAAAAACTTCATTGTTTGACAATTTGAGTTTATTGTGTATGTTTTTAAACACCTTGTTACAATTAACCTATGTCTTAGAGGAGTATAGGTTATAAGAATAAAATACCTGTCTCACATAGTCAGTCACTAGCTCATTTTATTATATCAAATTAGAAATAATCAAATACCATGGTGAAACTTAAAGGTTACATCAGGGATCATCATATCACTATCATATTATGTAATGCATGTCTTATCTAAATTTATTTATAGTCAAATTTTGGGTGTGGGTAATTTTCTTCCAAATAACTCCATTCCATCCACCAAGTCTTTCCTTAAATATTACCTTCTCAAGGAGGCTGAACCTGACCACCCTATTTAATACTGCAATCTGCAATTCCCAGTCTTAATTTCCTTTATCCTATGTTGCATAATACTTGTCATTTTCTAATATACTATATAATTTATTTATGTATATTCTTTATTGTCTATCTCTCCTTATTCATTTGTAAGTTCCATGAAGGCAAAACTCTTTGCCTATTTTGTTCACTGATGTATCCCAGGTACCTGGAACTGGGCCTGGTATGTAACTGGCACACAGTAAGTATTCTTTGAGCTCACACCTGCAGGAATAAATAACTGAAATTGTAGGACTAAAACTCATATACAAAAAGCATGAATTATCTCCTAAAAAAACCTGAATTCTGAGCCCATCAATTGACTACACTTAAGTTTCAGAAATCACTAGATTAAACACATGGTATAAGTGTTTCAATTAGTTTATGTCTTGGTTAATATACAAGTTTTAGGTTTTTCATCTTTGGCATATTTATAACTATTTTGAGTATATCATTCCTTTTCAGATTTTTAAAAACAGTTATCTATGTTCTTCTAGTATTTTTTTTAAAACAGTTATCTATGTTCTTCTAGTATTTTTTTTCACTTGCTTGCTAATCCCTAGTTATAATTTGCATATTTAGCTTCATCTTTCCAGTCACATAGCAGTTGACACAGACTGCTTCCTTTCACTACCAGAGACACAACCAGCCCATGGGGAAACCGTATTTACAGGAGAAATGGGCAAGCCATGAAAATTATGAGAATCAGTGCTGCAGAATTCTCACTTAATACAATTTTCGTTTAACGGTCAGTCAAGCAGAATCATCTTCAGGAGTTATGAATTTCTTGACTGACCTTCCTGGAAGTAGGAAATGAACCTGCATTTTACCTAATGTCTCCACATGTGGGAACACTAGAGTTTAATGGAAGACTGGATAACACAAAATCAAATGCCGCAAAATCAAGTGCTGTGTTGCGTGACATTACAGCTAAAGTCCTGATTTCTTTCTGAAAGCTGCTAAAAGGAGTTATTTTGTTTACTGTTCTCCAAGCTCTGAAGATTGAGTTACTTCAATATTCTAAATCTTTGTCACTCCTTCAATACTCGGCAACTGGAAAGCTTGCAGTAATTGAGAGGTCAGCTGGTGCCAATCCATTTGAATTCGGCAATCTTTAACATTGACATGACTAAATTATTCTGAAAAGGCTTAAATTCTGCAAGCTCCTACAGCATTTCCTCTCAGTGTTAAAAATTCACAGTTCAAATCATAAAACATCTGCCGTGATGGTTTAATAAATGCCATGTCATAACTGAAATGATTTCTGAAAATGTATATATTACAAAAATTTATTTTGTGAGTAGCTAAAACCCACATTCTGAAAATTCATGAAATCCATGTTTATTTGATCTGCTGTTTAAGGGAGAGAAGACTCCAGGGTGACAGCCACCAAGAAAAACATAGGAAGTTTCTTAGTCCCTATCATTCCTCTTCTTTCAGTCTTTGTGGCAGGGGTCATTAGAGACGGCAGGAGAGAAATAATGGATCATAGTACTAAGAACTGTGATACAGGTCTTTACACAGCTTAAATAAAACAGTGTGTCAGAACTACACACACTTTAAATTTTGTTTTTAGAATACATTCAATGGTATATCTAAATGTGCACTCAGGTCCTAAACCCTCTTATTGATTGGGACCAAAGAATATAATGATGGAGAGCAAATCCCTTGTGTACAAAGAAAGAGGAACTATAATGATGAAAGAGTAGGGGCATTTTTATGTTTCATCCTATCTTTAGATTTCTAAGCTGTGAAAGACACTAGATAAAAGGTATACTGACTTTTAAATTACAAGGAAATATTACACATGATCAATGCTTATAAATGAATATTCTTTCTCAACAGTACCATCCAGTTGGTTAGAAAGAGTTCATGTGGGAAGGATTCTATATGGCATTGTTTGAAATTATAGTGTATTTATACTATCATTTTCCATAGTTTAGTGGTTTTTCCCCCTTTCGCGTCTAATAGCTAACATATATTTGAAGAAATAAGAGTGTTTTATTTAATACTCTGAAAAAAAAAACTCAAGATTTTTTTTCTAGACATTGTGCATCTACTGTGACATTTTTCAAATGGATTGTGAAAATATGCTCTTTGCAAAGGTAGTCATTGTAACATCAGGATCAATGAATCTGTCTGGAAAGAAATTTCCACATCCCTGAGACCACTAACTTTTCTCTTAAACCACCACATTCTTGTTGTGATTTTTTCCCTTCCTCTCCCATTCTTTATTCCTTGCCTACCATTTTCCAACTCTTCCTTCTCCTTTTACCCCACAGTCAGGGGGAGCATGGTCAAGGAAACAGGAAAATATCTAAGGAATTATTTAGACAAACTTTCCTCTACCAAGGTCCTACGGTTTCATGTTAGTTGAGGGCCGACTCTGTGAGTTTCACACCAGTTTCTTTCTGTGATATCTAGTAGACTCTTTTTGCATTGGTGCACAACAAATAACGTTAATTTGTTTTGTGAATGTTGGCTTAGAAAAAAATGGAATTGGAGATGGGGGAAAAGTGTATGGTTATTATGGTTACTGGGCGTTGTACCACAGCATGGTACCTATTTATTTTGAACACAACAGAATCAAAGATATAAAGAAAAGGGAATAGAATGCCCAACTCATAGATACCTTCCGCTGGAGCACCTATGGGCACACAGATGCCATATTAGAAAAAAAAAGAAGGTACCTCACATGACAGGTGTTTCTTGACAGCAAAGGCTGATTATAACTTTCTTATAATTTCCTCTTTTAATTCGGAGCTGCTTACTCAAATGTACGATTGATCAATTAGCTGATGAGAGAAGGGGAAGTGGAACCTGTGTTAAATGCACCAAAAATGCACAAAGGGAAAGCTCAAGAAACTGGCAGTCAAGACATTCCATTAAAAGTCAAGTGCAACGGGTAGGAGGGTGTAGCTCGGTGGTAGAGTGTGTGCTTAGCATGCACGAGGTTCTGGCTTCAATCCCTAGAACCTTCATTAAAAAATAATAATAAATAAATAAATCTAATTACCTGCTCCTCACCCCTCCCCCCAAAATGTCAAGTGCAATGAAAGAGAAACTTATTCTACAATAGGGGAAAACTAAAAAAAAAAAGAGAGAGTGAAGTGAAGATGATAAAAAAAAAAAAAGCATAGAAATGCTAAGACTGATGCAGTGATATGTGCATCACCTGAAGAAAAGAAGGAAATGAAAACTGATAATGTGTGTTAGGAGGCTTAAGACACTCAAATCAAAAAGGGGAAAAGAAAGAATGTGGGAGAAGGGCAGAGAAGAGTTAGAGGAACAAGCGCTTTGGAGGCAAACAGGGTTTCATTTGTAAACCAGTGAGCCAGTCTGACAGGTGAGGCAGCCTGAGGCACTTGAAAGATCTTATTCAATGGCTGGCATTACTGAATGCCCAGCTGGGTCTGAACAAGAGCAGTTTTAAACAGGGACACTGTCCTAAAGAAATCTTAAGTTTCACATGCCCTCCAAAGCAGCCTTATAAATCTTGAACAGCATCAATCTTCACCAACCACCTGCAATCAGCATTACTCCAGAATTTGCCGGACACAGCAGGTCCTTGACAGGGAATATTTTAATTTGGATGGCTGGCCCTCTACTCAGGATTTACATGTAGTGACGATATGCAAATGAGCTCACTTCAGTCTCATCAACAGCATAAATTAAGTGCACCCTATCGTGAGGATTATCTCGGAAAGAGAGAATGTCACCTTCAATAAATGTCACCTGGAGGTGAATGGTGAGTCTCCAGTGAGTGACAGTGAACAACAAAGAGCATTTCCTCACTGCTGACTGGCTGCCTGCATTCCTTTATGTTAAATGCTTGACTACTTACATAAAATATCTTTGCTCGGAATAATTTTCTTTTTAACATCTGTGCAGCGAGACAAGAGATTCAGTGGTAGCATTTTGATCTAGAGTCCCTGATACTACACACAGGCAAATGACAGGAGAACACGATCTTCAGTTCTGACCTCTGTATGAAGAGTGTCTATTTCATTAAGAAATGGTGCCCTCAAAAAAAAAAAATGGTGCCCTTAGTATAGGACACATGTTTTGTACCAGCGAGGATGGATTTACAACTTCCTGTCACACATTCTAAGTAACTCTGAGTTAGCAAACAAAGAGCTAAAGGCCTTAAAGAGAAAGATCACAAACTTGTATAACAAATATAAGAAAAAAACCCCTTTGGGTTAGGAAGCACCAACTATGACTGATATTTTTAAGAGTTTATAAATCATGCCTGGAAATAGCTGATAGAAGGAGAACCACATCCAACTCATTCTACAGTGAAATTTAAAGATATTTGCCATTGATTTTGCAATTCTTCTCAATCCCTATTATCCAGCCAGCTTACTAGGACACCATCAATGGAAAATAATTTTAAAGTCTGAATTTAATAACAGATGAAAGCAAACAGTG